GACCAGGCTTACAGCTCATTGGCCAGAACAAGCACATGACCAGGCTTACAGCTCATTGGCCAGAACAAGCGCAGGACCAGGCTTACAGCTCATTGGCCAGAACACTCAAATGGCCACTCTCTTGATAAGGAGGCTGGGAAGTAAATGGGAAGCAATGAAGCCTACCAAACAATTAAGAGTCAGCTTCTAAGTAAGAACAGAAGAAAAGGGGAAACTAGCTTCTCCCACACATCATTACTCATCTTGATAAATTCCAAAATGCTGTTTCTTTTCAATTTTCAGCAGAAAGAGCTGGATATATACATCTAAAACAAACAAAAATGCTCTTCTTCAACTCCCACCTTCTGTGGCTTTGTTTCATCTCTATTAATTTGGGCATTTGGATGTCTTCATGCCAGAGCAAAATGGGAATGTCATATGGCACAGCCCTGAGAAGTTTCTGGCACAAGACTCTAGACGCAGCTGCCTTCACAAGGAAAGTCTCAATTTATGCAAAATGAGCCCTCATGAACCCATCACCCAGCTTAACAAATATCAACTCAGAACTGATTGTTTCAGTTACTCCTTCCCACTCCTCCATATTTTGGGAAGAAAACTCCAGTCATACAGTTCCATCCATAATCTCCCCAAAAGGTAGTCAAAAACAATTTACCACACCACCATCATCATATGTAAAAACAATAGCTATGCCTTAATAATAACATAAAAAAGCTAGTGCTTACCTGTCCAAGTCTCATCAACTTTTTAACAATTTTCTGGAATCCAGCATCCACCTAAGATTTCTACATGGTATTTAGTAGATACAATTTAGTCTCTTTAACTGGCAGTTTTTGCCTCCATCTATGATATGCTCACAATTTAGAGACAATTATTATGAAAATTTTAAACAGATCTAAAACCGTGGGGATTCCACTTTGCAAGCCAGGGTCTAACTAGTAATTAAAGCTGCCCGACTTCAACTCCAACCGTGGGCCCCACTCCTCCACTCCGGCTACTGAGATGCCTCTTCACTCCAACCCCCACATGGTACAGAGTTGAACTGGTCACGCCTCTGCTCAAACAAAGGGTAAAATAATGACTACAACTACTGATAATGAACTTGTGATATTTACCTTTTTGTGTTTTTCAAAAATTTTTCTCTAAAAGTAGTTTCCAAATGTGACCTCTACAGATGTGGGGTGCTCTCCTGAGGACACCGTATCAGTTACCAAATGAATGGTGCATGACGTCCTGTGGTGGAGGATCCCTGGCACACAGCACAGGCAAGCTCCTTGGTGCATGCACTCTGGACTCAGACCGGGCCTTCAGGAGCGTCCTGCATCATATCAAAACCCAATCTCTTGCTTTAATTTATGTCTGTTCTTGGAGGACAGCTCTTTCTTGACTTGGTCCCATGTGCCAAATTTGCCTCTGTTCAGTGTGGCTCAGGGCCCTTGCCTTCCATGACCTTTGATGCTAATTTTTACTTTCCATTCCTAGATGGCAGGTTGGGCTGGAAGTAGCCCTCTCAAAACTGTTGTTTCCAATGTAAATCAAAACCATAATGCACTGTTACCTTAACCCGTGAGAGG